TTTCCATTGAGCTCATGAAAGGTTTTATGTAACACCCTGTCCACTGCATCTTCTGAATCATACGTTATGAAGCCAAAGCCACGTGGCCTTTGGGTGTTGTGGTCATACATCACTACAACATCTGTAATATTACCAAACTGCTCAAAATATTTCTTGAAATCACTCTCATTGACTGTAGATGCTAAGCCTCCTACAAAAATCTTTTTGTGCGTCCAGGACCTGGTGATCCTTGAATGCTACTACTATTTCTATTTATTATGTGTTTATCATCCCTTGGAACAGCTTTCTTTGCTTCAACCTGAAAATGAAAGCCAGCAAAGACTTCATATACTTGGAGACATTTGCTCATTACTCTAGAGGCCTGAATTATCAGATCTTTAATGTCACATTTGTAGGAAAAACCATACAAAGGTATGGGTTTTTCCACTTTCCTGCTTGTCAGGTACATAATATTACTATTACTAAGCTCTAAGAATAGGTTCCATGCCAAATGGCATGCTTCCAACTAATATCAGATTGCAGTGCAGTATTGCTTGACAAAAGTTTATGACTCCTACATTGTAATGTTTCGATGAAATTTACAACATAAGCTACTTACAGTACGACCATCAATCACGTGCTTTTCCATAACCACTCTTTCAGCAACTGCAGGATCAGCAAAGACAACAAAACCGAAGCCACGAGCACGACCAGTATTGCGGTCTCTCATGATCACTGCCTCTACCACTTCACCAAACGCTCTGAAATATTCTTTTAAGCGATCCTCATCCGTATCCCAAGAAATCCCACCGATGAACAGCTTACCGAGATCTGATTCCATCCTTTCTGCAAACAATTAAATCATCAGCATCCTCAATTCAAATACAACAGCACCTTACAAAGAAAATGCAAAAACTGACAATCTAACAAAACGCTATAACAATCAAATAACAATCGTCCAAACCTCAGGAAAGGAGTAAATCAATTGGCAATTAGCACAATTGTAAACATCAAAAAGGTTGATGACACAGATTATTAAAAACAGGAGACTGCAACAGTCCGCATCAGATATGAAGCAAAACAGATCCAAATGTGGGATGGAAGAGAAAGATGAACAAAAATCTGACCTTATCCAGAAAATCAGGCAGAGCCCAGCAAAGACACCGATCAAATAGCACGTGGGAAAAGTTGGAAAAAATCCAGGATCATCGGATCCTTCATGCATCAATTAAAACTCAATCCAGCACCTCTGAGAGAAATATAATTCGCATAGATCAGAAGCCCAATACAAAATCTGCTAACAAAGATCAAAATTTTACAGATTTAATCAAGACGAGCTAGAAAAGAATCAATTTTTGAAGCAATCTCACCATTTGAAGGATAGCCCAGATGAGAAGGAATTGATGAGGATGAAACCAATAAGATCTAAGAAGAGGAATAAATATGTATGTCCACAATAAAAACAGAGGATATGCTCATCCTCTTCTCTCTCTTTCTCTCTCACTACCCCAGAGGTCCCTCTCCTCTTTGCCCTTTTCTTGGTTATTCCACTCCTTTTAAATAGTAGTAAAATAAAAATTAAAAAAAGGGGCAATGGAAATCCTAGCTGAGATGAGGGGCTGTGAGAAAGAAATTATTAAAAAAAATTATTTATAATGGAGAGAGAGAGAGAGAAATGTGTGTGTGAGTGTGTGTCTCTGTGTGAGTGTTAGGCAATCCTCTGGTGAAAAGAAAATTTAGAGGAGCCTAAGGCAGATGACAGGAAATGACGAGCGTCTCTTAGAAATTTTTCCCAAGAAGATATCGTGAAATGTTTTCCAAGGAACTTACGGGTGTCATGAAAATGAAACACATATCTAGTGCGGACAAAATGAACTAAAATTGATTTAGATTTACACTTACAGTGCAGGCCTCAAATTTGTTGTTCACAAACTTCCCTTAGACCAGCTTGAATTCCAAAAAATCAATGCATCAATTGCTAATAATCATATTCTTTTTCCATTACAATCTCTGGGGCATGAGCTACTGAAATTGAAAATCATTACTTTCTAAAATCAACAATAAAATCAATTCATCAATTGCTAATATTACATATTTTTTTCCTTTTTAAAATCTCTTTATGATATGACTACTGAAAATGAAAATCATGTACCTTTCTGAAAAAAAACAACATTAAAGTCAATTTTTTTTTTCAATCTCACTTTATCCATTTTTCATGCTCTTATTGTTTTGAGGAAAAAATATAGAGCAGCATCTACACGGTTAGGAGCCAAGTTTCGGTTGTCCTCTAATTGCTCAGATCCAATTTTGACAGTTTTCATTTATAATTATTGTTTTGCCCCGCTAGAATTTTAGAAAAATTTTCATTGCCCCTCTTTACTTAACTTTTACTTTAGGATTTGGATAGTGTATTATTTGAAATATTATTTGAAATAATTACTGTAGCACTTTTTGTGATATGATGTATGTGAGATAAAATGGTGATTGGGAATATAAAAAGGTAGGTTGGAAAATGTATTTGTGATGCAAGCGAAATATTATTTGGAATAATTTTGGTATCCAAACACTGACAATTATTAAGTTATTTTATCAACAAAATTTAATTTCCTATGAGTGCTTTATGTTTCAAAATGTAATACAATTAACAGTTGTAACCAATATTCTATACTTTAAAGTAAAAATTTGTGATATGTTCACATAAATAGATTATTTTTTCTTTTTTTCATGTCCGATGATAAAGAAGAGAAGATTAAAACATGAGTTACTACGTAATTTGACATACTAATACATATTTTAATACAATACTAGTTATATGACTTCTTTACTCTACTTTGTAGGCTTTATTTCATTAATGTTTTTTTTTAAATATTATCAAGCTGTTGTTGGACAACTTTGTTTTTAAAATATTTTTTATTAAATTGTAATTATATATTAAATTTGAATTATTAAACCAAAGTTGTTTGACAGCTATGGAGTTGCGGCAATTTATCTTATTATAATACAATTTTTGAACTTATTTGTATTTTTCAGATTTATTTATAATTTTTCAGATCTATTATATCTGTGCCTATTTAACCTACATATCTGTTATTTTTTAATGCATGTTTAACCTACATATTTGTTACTTTTCATGCATGTTTACTACAATAATATAAAATAATACGTGCTGAACGATTTTTCACAATTCGTTAATGAATTTTATTTTATTTTTTTAAAAAAAAACCCGTTTGTTTTGGTTAAACCGACGAGGATTCCAAAGAGGACCACCCTTAAGGATTCTGACTAGAATAATTGAGTCATTCACCTTGGAAAAGTTCCCTAGTACACTAGGAGTGAGTTTTCCATTTTTAGGTCCCTCAAATCTTCCTAGTTACTTAAAAATTTTTTGTTGAGAGCTTGTAATGTTTTATTTGTTTCTGCTGCAAATGATAGCTATGAAGCAGTTTGTTTGGATTGAGCATTATTTATTCAGTTTTATTTGCTTACATTATCATTACAATTTTTAATACAACTTTTTATCTTACCAATTACCTTTTTATCTCACATACATCACATCACAAAAAGTGTTACAGTAAAAATATCCCAAATAATCCCAAATAACTTACAATCCAAACAAACCAAGTACTGTTGGTTTGATAATTAGTTAATGAGAATTGCTTAATGATCCAATTTCTAATGCAACTGCACAACAAAATGAGATTAAAAGCAAAATTAGCAAATAGTAGCATTTAGCATAGTAGGGCTACGCTTGGTCGATAAGATTGCGGCTTGCCAGCTGATTATTGCAATGCACCTCGGGTAAAAATCAAGGTCAAGCGTCCACGTCTTGAAATTGACATGTGACAACATGTCTCTTCCAATATCTCTGATCCGTGGAAACAACTTTTTTCTTTTTCTCATAATTTTTATCCTTTTTTCTAATTAATAATTGTATATAAACAATGGTCCAAATTAAAAAAAAAAAAATCAGTCCCAAACCTCTTTTTGATTAAAAAAAAAAAGTAATTTCGTTACAAACGTATGAAAACATAAAACTCCAAGAGTTTCCTCCATCAGATGAATAAATATCACAGCAACTCAATAAATCTGTGTGCTGTTCTTGCATTTAAGTCCCTCGTATTGTTTAAGGTCTTTTAGGCTTTTTTTTTTTTTTTTTTTGTCAACACAGGTATCCCAGTCATTGTCGGACTAATCCCCTGGACTGTACAGAGCCCCGCCCAAGGATATACAGCAAGATTCGAACTAGTGATCCACGGGATATTACCGCATGTGATTTTTAGGCTTTCTTTGGATTGCATTTTTTTGAACTTTTTGTAGAAAAATTATTGTAGCAATTTGATATATATGAGATAAAAAATGATTGAAAAATGTATCCACAAAAAACGTAACAATTTTTCTTTAAAAAATTACAATCGAAACACACCCTTGGATTTTTCATTTTCAAGCTTTTTACCATAAACTGTAAGGGTGAGGTTTCGCTAAACTGGGATGTTGATGGTTGGGCCACCGGTGCGCATGACAAATTCAATTGGTGACACCCAAAACCCCGAATTGTCCTGAAAAGTGCCATGCATGATCATTGATGTCTTCAGGGATACATGTCTTTCTAGGGTCATCCATATTCTATTCACTGTTCATTCATTTCCACTAAAACAACACAAGTAATTCTACTATGCCTTAACTTCATATTAGAGTTCTGTGATGCTGCATCAAATTTAAGATTAAGCAAATAAGTTGAAACGCGAATATATTTGCAGTGGGTTGTCCTTTTTATACCAGCTATTCCTCATTGCAATGGTCTTTTAATCATGGTGTTTCTTACCTACAGAATCCACACAGAAGAACAAGAAGTCAGCGTACCAAAGGATGTCCAGATCCAATATGGAAGAATCTACGAGGCTGAAACTGAAGATTAACTATGATTTCGCTATAAAGGTTCAGTCAACTAGTCGGCCGAACCTTACACATAATCCGGACGGTTGTTTTGGGATTTTAAGGCCACAGGAAGACAACAGTCTTTGCTAGATTGATTCAACAGAATTTGTGGAGGAGGAAGAAATATCTTCTTGAGCAGTTACGACTTCCTGTATTTTCTGCAGTACTTCAGAGATGGAAGGTCGGTCTCCAGGCAATTCTGACACACACATGAGAGAGATGTTTAACAGTGAAAAACCATACATCTCAAACTTTTCAATCTCCTTGTCAAAGACCTCTCCGGTCCATTCCTCGCGCACCTTGGCCTTCACCCACTTCGGAAGGTCCAACCCATTCTTCTGCATTTCTGCAAACTTCCCTGTTAATAGCTCAAGAAGGATCACTCCAAAGCTGTAAACATCTGCCTGCTCAGTCAGTCGTTTTTCAGGTGCTGCGTAACTGGAGGAGTTGAAGAAACGTGCTTTGTTGGAAACTAAAAACTTTGCAATTCCATATTCACTAATGAGTGGTTCTTCCTTCTCGTCCAACATGATGTTTGAAGGCTTAATGTTGCCATGGGGATGATCTCCCCGTCTTCAGGCCACTGATATATGAAGTTCAATCCCCTCGCTATCCCAATTGCTATTGATAATCGAAGTTTCCATGGCAAATTCCTTTTGCCCTCGATATAATCTGCAAAGGCAAGAATTGTTCACATAATTTGAATCTGCAGGAACGTGAGAAATATTCATCACATATGTTTATCTATGCAATGAGACTAACCGTTGAACAGAGTTAGTAGACTTCCATTATTTTGAAATCTGTAGATTAAGAATTTTTTCTCTTTAGAGGAATTGTAACCAACAAGAGATAGGATGTTTTGATGCTTCAAATTCCCAATCCTTCTCATTGTTTGGCCAAACTCCTCAAAGGACACCTGCAACTTTTTCAATCTTTTGACGGCAAAAGTGGCATTATTCTTCAGTCTTACCCTGTAAAGACTGCTACAATGCCCCGGCCTTCGCAGGTCAGCTGAAGCTTCAAGAAGCTCTTCCAAACCAAACCTTTCATGCTTTTCTATGAAGAACACGAGCTCTGAATGTCGTTCTTCCGCCTTTTCTTCTACCACAATCTCGACATGAGGACTTTTCGGGGGGGAAAGAGAGAGTTCGAGTTCCCTTGTAATCTCTGTGTCTTTAGCTGCTTGGACAGCTTTCAGCTTCGTGAAAAAAATGAGCAGCAGAACAAATGTGACTCCCATAGCTATAACGACCATCCACGATTGCCAATGTTTACGCGGATTATCGTCATTCTTTGAACTTTGCTTGCCATGTGATACATCTTCCGGAGCTGGAGAGAATGCATATCTTTTATTTGAATTTTCGCCTTTGCTAATAGCATTGGCTTGTGATATTTCTGAAACAAGCCAATATTTCCTCACACGTCTGGCTTCACGATTCAATTGAGGATCCGTACTACCATTATGATTGTTAGAAATATCAAATCTTTTAAGATTTTTCAGCTTACTAAGAGCTACTGCAGGTAGGCTTCCTGTCAACAAATTGTTGCTCAAGTCCAAGTGCATCAGGCTTTTGCAATTTGCTATGGAATCGGGGACGGTCCCTCGGATTCGATTCTTGGCTAAGATAAGCACACACAAATTTGGTAGTTTGCATAGTGTCTCTGCATCCAGAATCCCACTAAGGTTCAGGTTTTGAAGTCTGATTTCTGTTACAGGGCGGCCAAATAGACTAACCATCTTGCATCTAACTACTACATTCCACTGATTTGAACATGGATGTCGTAGTGACCGACTCCACTCAATTCTCAATACAGTTTTGGGATCAAGAGCACGAATGAAGTTGAAAAATAGCTCGATTTCAGATGACTCACCTCCATTGCAGCCGCTGACAAATAAAGCTAAACCTGCCAAAGCTGCCAGCCAAGGAATGCTGCCCCTGCATGATCCTAGAGTTGCCAATAAATCGGAATGATACTTGTCCTGCTCTCAATTCAATGACGATCATTCCCGAGTGGATGGGAATTGCTATCATTCATTCTCCTGCATCTTCCCGTTTTTAGTTTTGCATAGGAAATGGAAACAATTTCTTCACGGTTTCCAATGACCAGCTCGCATAACATCATCCTACAGCGAAACACCCTATGCTCGAATTTTTTGATGGGAAACAGACTAAATGTTATTATTAAATTTGCTCCAATCGTCCAGCACCCTATGCTCTAATTTGACCCTATGATAAGGTTAAAAACATGGGACAAACTCGTATCAATGTGTCATTGAGTTTGAAAACCCGATTAGATTAAATTGAGTTCAAGTACAAAAAATGATTTGAAATCACGATATTTCTAAACTTAGACATAAATATGAAAATTTTAAAATTAAATAGGTGGACTATCTTTTAGTCTATGGCTGTTGCTTAAGCTGTATTTTACCCTTAATATAGGATTTTTCGATTAAATTTTTTCAAATAACAATATACGGAGACATGTTGGCATGTAGATTGTTTGTACCCTGTGTCGTGTTATGTAATTCTCAATAGTTGACCAATCAAAATTTTATGAACCTTATGGAAAAGGACTATTTATATGTAGGGGTGTTAATTGAACTTTTTTGAGTCAAATTTTAGCAAATTCAAACTCGGCTGACAAATTATACTGGTTTTCGAATTTTGGGCTTTTGAGCTTCGAGTTCAAATTAAAAGGCTCAAGTTTAACCTACACTATTATATGAGTTTCGGGTTCAAATCGAGTTTGGCTCAAGTTCATAATTAAATACATAAACATATAATATATATATATAGTATAATTATGAATTACTATAAATTTATATAAAAATTATTAATATTTTTATAAAAATTATTAATATTTTATGTCATGATATGTACAATTATAAATTATATGTATTATTATTTTGTGTATATATAATTATACTCATATATCGATCGTGTGTTAAGTGGGTTCAAATCTAGTTTGGTCCAAATTCAACCCACATTTAATTTTAAACCCAAATTCTATCCAACCCAATTAAAACTTAGGTTCGACGCGATGGCATTGACAGCCCTATTAGCATGTGCATTTGATGGAACTCTTGCAAACGACAAAAGCAAGAAATGGGAACCGCCCATTTGTGTGATGGTGCTAATCGTAGCATAAGGTATATTAGGCAGATCACGTTTGTAGTATCTGACGAAGGAAATCATGTGATGCGATTAACTGTCTAGCAATGGTTTTTAGCAAAAGGGAATTAGATTACTGATTGAGACTGGACTTTTGAGTTTGATTGAATTGTGCAAACTCGTTGATAACATCGCCCCAAAAAAGAAAGAGAGAGAGAGAGATATATTTGGACGGCTCTTTTTTTTTTTTTTTTTAAACTTAAGGGTATTCTAACATTTCGACAAGATTAATCTCTTAAAATTATGTAAAGCCTTACCTCAAAAATATATAGCGAAATAGTACACAAAAATCGATCACGATATCACTAGACATGTCAGTAACTATCAGGTTACGAAACCAATTGGAGTATCCAAGCCATTATGTTGTGTTGGCTTTTCGATTCTACTGCACTTTTTGGTTGCACGACCAGGGATCAATTCTTTAAGCTTTCTTTCGCAGGAAGAAAATTGTAAGCAAAACCTTATTTACTATTCCCTCCGTCACACTTTGATAGTCCTGTATTCCTTTTTCATCTGTTTCAAATTGTAGTCCACTTTCCAATTGAAGAATGTAGTTGTATTTTAATTTTTCTAAAATACCCTTATTCAATGTAAGTAGTTGTTACTATAAAACTACCCCATTTAATGAGAGTTGATTATTTTTTTACCATCAATTCAAGTTCCCATAAAAGTTGTACCATATTTAATGTGAGGGTCTTTTAGGAAAATAGCAATCTAAATTTATTTTTCCAACAAAGTTAACTAATTTTTCTTAAACTGTGTGAAAAAAGAAACAGAATTATCAAAGTGGGACGGAGGAAGTATCTACTTGCGGCGAGGGGTATTAGATTATAGAGGGTCAGAATCAAACCACTGGCAAATTTGATTTAGATCCTTTCAATTACTACTACTTTCAGTATACTAGGAGAACTGAAAATGGCAAAATTCAGATTTCTTATCAACGCATATCATTTTCAAGATAATCATTATTTGGGCTCTGACCATTTTCCTGCTCGCTCTCGTTAATATGAATAAAAATCAGGGTAAATTTCAATTTGACCCTTCAAAGTGGATCAATGTGTTAAATCAATCCCTGAAGACGATCAAGCCCCAATTAAGCCCTAGTTCGTATCGAACCAGCCCTTCCATCAACTCATGATTGGCCAATAACGTATCACTAAAGTTAGTGATAAAGTAAAATCTATCAATCTTTACGGACTTTAAAGGAATTCACTTCCCCATCTGAATGATCTAAAAACGATAAAATAATACTCTTCTAATCTGAAAAATATATATATATTTTTGCTGCTATTTTCAATCTTTTAAAGCCGAGTAGACTAGCACCGTTCTATAATTTTTCAACTCATCTTACACAGGAGGTTAATCGCTCTAGAATCCAAAAAATTGGTAAGACTTCACCGTACCAGTAAAGTTTGGTTAGTGTTGTTGACCAAACTATAAATTTTGGTCGCTGCATGCCCATTATGCACCACCGCATTATCATAGATGAGAAAAGCTCCACCAATTTTTCCATTTTTGTGATTTTTTTGGTCATTACTGGAAGAAATCAGCCGCGACCTTTGTTTGGTCGTTGCACAGAGTTGATGGAAGTGGTTGGGCATGGAGGCAGAGCAGCCTACGAGTCCGACGGCCGTTAGTTGGAGAGGCCCATATGAAAATCTGCTCGTGCGCCACGCCGCCGTTGCACCGCCTTCTTTCTTTTATATTACTGGCACATTAAATGAAACAGAAAGCAAGAGATAGCCAATCACGGCAGCCATTCTTTTCCCTTTTCTTGATAGCGACAACTGGTACTTGCCAGCCGCTTCTTCTTCTAGTAAAGCTGTCTTCCCCACCTCCTACGCCAAAGAAAGGCCCAAATTCGTAAAAAAGTCAGAAGGTCGTTTGCTTCGGCCTCAATCTTTAATCTTTTGAGGTTGGAATCTTGGCTTGTTGGACGCCACCAATGCACAACAAAATACTAGTGAAATACTACTAGAAAACAAAACAAAATCACCCCACCGGCCAGCCAGCACCAGAAGAAAGTGTACTAGCTAGGCTGCACATCTTTGCCAGCGTTTAGTTTCAAAAGAATCAATCACCTAATGACTTGCAACTATGCAATTGCAAGTCGTCTTTAGCTTTACGTGAATTGTACTGACATAACTCTTTTTTTTTTTTTTTTCCATTGATCAGAATTGCGTCTCAGCAATCGACAAATAAATTAGTACTAATACTTTTGACTTTTGCTTGAGGAGCCGAAACGTTCCCAAAACCACTTATAAATCTTGTTCAACAACTTATTCTTTGGTCATGTTCTTTCTTGTACAACTCAGACATCCTACTCATTGTCTTTGTTGAACTTAATACTAACATAATAGTGTGGTTGTGCAACTACAGCTTTGTTAATATCAAAACAAATCATCCAAAACCAGTTGTGATCCTCCCCATGCCTCTCTAATAAGTCAGAGGCAAAAAGGGCGGAAAGCTGAAGAAACAATGCAACAAGGTTGCTTGCTGACTTAGCAAAACCAACATTTACATCTATAATCAATAGTCATCATAGACGAATATTATCCTCTGCATTATCGTCATCATCGTCAACTATCCCATCAAAGAACGGGTCCTCGAGAAGATCAGCAGCTGAGGGCCTATCCCTTGGCTTTGCAAGGCACTTCTCTACGAATGCCTTCACCTCAGGGTCCTTAATCTTGTCCATGGCTTGAGGTCTCACCCCAGACATCACCTTCTTGTATATCTTTGCAACATTGTCACACTCACTGTAGGGCAATTCAAGGGTTACCATCTCAAGCACACACATACCAAATGAATATATATCAATCAACTCGGTGTAATCCTCCTCGTATAGCTCTGGGGCCATGAATTCTGGGGTGCCAACCATTGTACGTGCACAATGACTCTTCCCCACAATTGCAGCCAATCCCAAATCACCAATCTTCACCTATATAAGTCAAAAACAAACTGTAAAGTTCCCCCCGCAGAAATTTCAAGCAATTAACTAATATCACAATTTCCTAAGCCGCAAAAGGAAGAAAGTATTGCAAAATCAACTCCTGAGTTTTCTTTATCTAACCAAAAACTACATGTTCTACAAGGTTCAATTAAGAGGAGCGAGATAACAGTTGGCACGTGCTGTGCATGCCTAATCTTATTGATCCTGGTCTCTATTTCTAAAAAAGAAAGCAAAATCAAACAATCTCATTTACTCAATTTAAAATTTCACTCAGGCATATACTAATGCATTATCAGTAAAGGAGAGAACATTTACACCGTTGTCGTTATCTAGCAACTACATTTCCAAAATTTCAACAACATCCAAGCAAATAACGACAATATCAATGACAGACAACTAATAAAAGATGTTTATACCTGTCCAATATTGCCATTGATGAACACATTGCTGCAATTCAGATCTCGATGAATGATACAGGGTTCATGAGTATGCAAATAGTTCAAACCCTTGAGAATTTGCCTGGACCATTTCTTCAATGCCTTCAACGAAACCTGCCTATGCTTTTTCCTGTACTCCCTCAAATTCCCAGAAGTACAAACTTCAGTGATAAAATTCAATGTTTTCTTTTCCTCATCTCTCCACACAGAGTACAGGGCTATAATATTCTTGTTCTTTAATGTCCTCAGCAACCTAACCTCAGAATATAGCCTCTCAATCATAGCTTTATCTTCACAGAATTTCTGCAATTTCACTTGGTTCCAAGCCACCTCTATTCCTTCCTCTTGATCGAATGCCCTGTACACTTTCTTCACTGATCCTGAGCCCAGAAGCTCATTATACCGGCCATATCGGCCACTGGGATCAACCTCCACGAATGGCTCCGTGTCTGCATTGGCCGCATCAGAGCCCATGCTTGTTAGCTTCAATGAAACGACCAAAACTTTATTCAGATCCCAACAATAAAACCGATTAAGGCCTGATGACAAAAAAATTCTTAC